AGCTCGGGTGTTATTTCGTTCTTACGTTCAGCGGTCATCCCAGGTGGGAGAGAGCGGACTCGGCTCTGGCGCGTTGGGCCTGAGGAGGTTGGCAACGGCCTTCTCCCGACAAGACGGTTTCTGTACGTCTGCTTACGTCGGTAGCGTTTATAACCTGCTGCGGCCGCTCTGGCAGCGGAACGGCAGCGATCCGAAGTTTCGGAGCGCACCTGCAGCACCTGGGGTGTGACATCTGCCCGGTAACGCGCCAGCTGGCCCGGCTGCCGCTCTGCTGCGCGGGTTATGCAACGGAGGCACGCAAGACCAGTTCGGATGGGTGTTTTTCTTCTAGCGACCCATTGGCCTCCACTGCATGTAGGTGCTTGCGTGAGATGACTTCACGTACAGGATTCATTTGAGGTTCATCACTGATACTTCAGAAGATTGCGCTGTCATTTGTTTTTAACTGATGTTAGTTTCTGTCTGACAGATACCACGCCATGTTTGTGTTTTTGGTACTGCTGTGTCAACTACATGTGACGGTGTTTGCGTTTCCTCACTGCACAGGGAGATTAAATGACTTGAAGCAACCCGAATGGAAAGACGGTAACTTACTTTTAATGCGATTTTGTGCTTTCCAAAATAAAAATGTATCTAACTTTGCTTCTGCTGAGAAATCTTTTTATGTACGTAAATAGCTTTGGTTTGGTGTTTTTGGTTTTTTTCTTTACTTAATTAAAAAAATTAAGCTTTCGTGCTTAATTTTAGAATATTTGAATGTTTTGCTGAAATGATTCATAATTGACTTGGGTATCAATATTAAGTATTTATCAGATCCAGTAGCAACTGCAGATTGGGGCAACTGAGCTTTCTTTAGGTCTCTAGGATTATTGTCATTGATACAACCAGAGTCCTAAAAGTAACATCAAAATTCCAAAAGTTTGGAATCTGTATTAAGACAGTACTGCTTTGGTACTATTTGAGCATGTGACAGTTTTATTTGTATGTCTAAAACTGCCCTGTATTTGAAAGGGTGTATTTGTTTGCTTTTTGAGATTGGTATTTTTTCCGCCATACCATATCTCCTTACAACACCTTGAAAGATAAACATAGTGCTGCTATCACAGTTCTTCACTTTGGAGGGAGGGAAGCGGAGAGGAATTGAGGTAAAAACAAATGAAGTTCTCAAAAGGACTCAAGCGCTACGATGCTAGGCCGTGTCATACTTAACATTTAAGCATCAGGGCTTCAAAAAGGAATTTGTAACTTAGCTGTCCAGTCTCCGCAGTGGGTAAGGAGTGCTGAAACCTTAAGACAGACTTTTAGAAGTCATCACATGGAGCAGGAGGCCTCTTCAGGGCACTATGTCAAGCAGAAAACATGGCTAGCAGAAAAATGCATGAGATGGGTTATTCATTAAAATCCAAATTGCTCTGGGGCATAAAATGTTGGGCTGCCAGGCTGCCTCCTTCCTGTGAGTTCACAGCGTAGAACCCTCTCCTGACAACAGGCCCAGATTGCTCCTTTAAAGGAGGAGTTGGAAAGAGAGGGGCCCAAATCTTTATCCAGTGACTTAGCAAGTGGAACACTTGCCAAGAGTATGGGGTACCTGCATGGAGAGGTTACCCCTTCAGCATTTTCTGAGCACCTTTTACCAGCAGAGTTACTTTATTCAGTTCATTGTGTGGATGCATTTTTAACTAAATGCTAGGCATCCTAGAACTGGATTTACCATTTTGAACCATGGCCTGAGGACTGCCAAACAGCATTCAGTTCCCTCATGTATAGAAGAGAATTCAAATCCATCTGTTTCATTCTCCAAATACTATCTTAATCACCAGGCTGTAGGTAATTCAGAGGTGGAGGTAGGTGTGCTTCGACTATGTCCTACAAAATGAAAAAAGTGCAGATAAATGGATAAAGACTCTTTGAAAGAGAAAAGGAGCGTGTCTCTGGGAATCTGGGGTCCTGTGAATTCCACGTTAATTAAAATGCATCAATTATCTAAGTTAATTCAGAAGTATAGTGAATGCTACTTCCATGATAAGGAATGAAACACTACTTAGCAAAACTGAAGATCTCTGTTTCAGAAGATCCGTGTTATTCTTGCGATTTGCACTCAACCAAGATATGGATAATTTTTTTTTTAATGTAATTCTTCCCCCTTTCCACTTGTGGGTTTGGGGGATCTTTTTGGATGGAGTCCTTCACTCTGGTTACTCTTAGATATAGCATAAATATTTTAAGCTTAGATTTATCTTACAATTACTTTAGAATAACAGATTTCCCTTCCTACACAAATGTCTGCGCACACGTGTGGCTCCTTCAATATATACTGTAATATTATATAAGTTATATAAATATATACTGTAATACTCCTTCAGTATACTATAATATTAAAGACATAAACAACCAATATGCAAGTTACACTGCAGTTTTCTTAGTTTTCAGAGAGCAAACCATTTTGAGATACCATTGCAAGATCTAACAGTAACTATTAGGGTAAAAATTCCTGAATGATGTGATAATCTCACCAAACAAGCTAACAAGAACACAGAACTAATTTGTAGCTGAATAACGTTATTCTGAATCTCATCTCCTTTTTCAGCCGTCTGGCTTGGTATGTCACAATGCTGTTTCTGCATTACGCTTGCAAAAATAATCCTCTAGTCATTTTGCTTAACGAAATAGTCTGAATTTCTTGGCGTACGGTTAGGCTTTCACTGAAAACCAAGCCAGAAAACTAGTTCTGTCATATAAAGATTTTTTTTTTTTCTTTTTAAAGAAGCTGTAGGAAGAACAGGCTAAAACTTGACTATGGAAAATGCCTGGTGAGAAAATGCATTCCTGTATTCCAAAGCCTTCTATAATTTCACTAACTCTTCTGGAATCTCACCTCACAACGTACTCCATGAGCCCTCATGGAGCCTGTAATGAGCACAAAAGAAGAAAAGAAATAAATGTCTTCAGAAGTACCTGTTGTCACGAGAACTCCTATCATGGACTGATTTAAAACAAACTTGGCAGTACACCAACCTTTACATTAAACTTGCTGCCACAACTGTGAAAAGAGAACAAATGTAAAACGAATAGGACTCTGCTGCCAAGATTTAAAATCCAAATTCTATAAACAAAATTGGGAACTCAGAGATACCAGAATGTATATTGAGGATTCTTTAGAAGGAGGAGTTTTTTGGGTTTTGTTTTTTCTTTCCTTTTTTCCCCTCCCTTTACCTCCTCCTTCCTCCAGTAGGTCAGTGTCTTGCTGGGTTTGCATCTGACTGAACTTCTGCTTTATGCGACTACTACTTTGTTTGTAAGAGCTCCAGTAAAAAAATGATGCCCACATCCCAGTGGGGTAATACCACAACTTGAACAGCAGCTGTCATGAGAATCAAATTCTCTTGGCCAGTGTAAGGAATAGCTGAAATGCTTTATGAGACAGGAAAGTATGTTTATTTTATATTGTGTAATTAGAAAAGTTAGCAGCGAAGAAGAGATTTTAGGAGGAGACCTTGATGTTTCTTTTTCCTGTATGTAGTTGACAGATGCTAGGGAA